ATGGGAGAGAAACACACAAATAAATATTCGGATGCCTCTTTTTGTTTACTGATTAAGCGGACAGTTGAATTTCTGTCGGTTTCTGTGCCGACAACCCGCACTATTTCACTTCTCGATGATAAAATACGCATTAAGCGAGCGAGCGCGCGAGCCTGTAAAATTTATTTACTTGCTTCCACAGAATTTTGTCCGTTTTCCAGAGAGTCAAAGTATGAACAATTATTCAATTAAATTGAGTCTCTGTCGATCTTTGTGCTGACTTCTCAGAACTCTGTTCCCTCGAAAATGCCCACTTTTTTCCTTCGCTTCTCCGCATTGCGGAGAGTGTTGAGATGATCACAGCAGTTGCGAAAGGAAGATGTTAGCGAGCTTATTAGCATGAAATCTCACATAACAACTGTTATTTTCATTCAACAGCCTATCTATTTTTGAATAAATCACTCTGGGTGATTTTTTATCACGACATTATTATATATATAGTTATTATGCGTGTGATTAGTTAGATAACGAAGATGAGTTACATTGACAAAAAAATGTATAATCGCAAGAGTTGCATTTGAATGAATTCAGCAATTATACTGTGCTGAAACTTTTAAATTGATTGTCTCCGCTTTTCCATGATGTGATTGATAAAACTATTGAGATGAAGTCATCACGAAATCTCCATCCAAATACAACAAAACCTATGAGTAAGTCTGTGTTTCCGCGTCAACCCACCAACCTTGAAGGTTGGCATGCTTTTCAAGGAGAATTGGAAAATTGGGAAATTCCACTGCAAAGAATTAAAATTCCTACGTAAGTGAAATTCAATACGCAAGACATTCTCAATGCGAAAGGAAGTTCACATACGAAGAATGAGCAAAAGAAGCCAGTTTAACCGTTAAGTGGTGAGAAAAGAAGAAAATCTGTAATTGAGCCATCAAACAGTGTTGGAATTTGTCAACTTCCGTCCCATTGACAAGATTTTCTCGTTATTATTCAATTCAGGGAGAATGAATGTGGGTGGATGTAAATCAATAAAAGGGAAATTTACAGTACTTTTTGCTATATGTCACACAATATAGTCACGGATCAGTTCAATGACTCTCTGAAGACGTGCATTTTTCAAGTTTCTCTCGCTCTTCTGTCTATTATTAAATTTATCACGAGTGATTGAGTTGATTCGTGTGACTTTTCTTATGGGGTGTGTGCGATGGTTTAAAAATAAAATCCTTCCACTCATCAATGTGTGAAGAGAACACCTTTTTCAGCATGTGTGAATGATGTTTCGAAGGAACAAATTTAAAGCCAAAATTGACACCATGGAGAAATTATGGACTGAACTTTTCCCATAAATCTTCAATTGACAATTTCCTCAACTCTATTTTGTATACGCAACATTTCTTCACGTGAGTCTCACGAGACTGAACATTGCCTTTGAACAAGGTAAGAAAAAGTGTCCAAGGAAGATTCATTGTTTTTGGGTGAAAAAGAAAATATTCTTGTATACGAAATTTTCTCACGGACTTTTTTTCTTGTCTCTCCGACGAGTGGACGAGAAAATTAACTGGTGAATCAAAAGTGCTTTCTTCACTCTATGCAAAGTGTGTTAAAGTGTCTATTGATTTGACATGAAGAGGAAGACAAGTGAAAATATTCGTGATTCCATGAAGAAATCGAGGCGAAAATGGACAGAGCAAAAAGTGACGTGATCACAAGTAAGAGTTTTTTCACAAAACACCTTGTTTCGTGATGTGTTTTGCCATCTAATTCTTCTCTGTCACCTTGTTCTCTTTCTCACCTCCTCTGAATGGCTTTCTTGTCTTTTCAGCTGTTTCTTTATCAATTTCCAGTATTTTCTATCGCGAAATTCCATAGAATACTTGCGGCATATCAGAATCTCAACCTCATCCATCATCATTTTCACGTGTGTTCATTTGTCTATCCATTTTCCACCCACGCACCGAAGAAAATTGGTAAAAGACCACAAAAAATTCCCCATATAGTCAGCAAATATAGGAAATTGTACCACAGCCGGAGGAAGAAATTGAGTGACTCTATATTTTGTAAAAGGCCTTCGAAGAAAATCATGTTTATCTGCACTCTTTGGGAAAATTTCACCTCACACAAGTTTTCTATAGCGACGCACAAGAGTGCAACTGAAAATCCATAAATGGGATTGAAAAAGAGACAATTTGTGTGGCTGAAATCGAGGTCATGTCGTGTGTCTCGATCTCGAAGACTATTTGCACGCTGAAGACTCTTTTCCATCAAGAATTATGACTAATTATCTCGATTATTCGCCTATATATTAGCGAAGTCCCACGATTTTCCATCGCGCGACGAGCAATTTGACCAAAATAATGACTTTTATGTGACGAATTTATGCCATTTCTGTCCACCGCGTGCGAGACAATTTTGACCTCAATTGTCGACACAAGAGAGCTAAAGTTCAAAGTATGCAAACGTGATCGGTTGTAGGCATAAAATTAGTAATTTTTCACACCCCAGAGGAAGCTGTTAAGTAAATTGTTGGTTTTGCATTAGCATCAAGTCACAGAAAAGTACCAGAAAAAGACTGTTTTATACGGAAGTTCGATGTTCAAATCCTTCTTGTCTTGGAACAATTCCAACTGTGCAGGAAATTTCAAAAATGGGTCAATTTAAACAATCAATTGAAGAATGACTCTGTTGAATTGGATTTCAGTCCAAGACTTCTTCTATCTCTGCAATGTTTTTTTTTAGAGAAAATAAGCCAAAAATGCAGAAACATAAAATGTATTCACAGTGTTTTCATGTTCCAGCGAATTGCAAGGCGAATTGTGGGGCGAGAACAATAAAATTTAATATGATTTTGGGCACAATTTCATTGCTATTCATGCGACATTGACCCAATCATTGGGTGACAAAATTGTCATTGGATAAAAAGATTCGAAGATATTCTTTTCCGCGTTGAAGAAAAATTTGGCATCCCACTGAAAATTGTCACTCAAATTGTTCTCAATTGAATTAATTCTGTTTGGTATCCCAAAAACCGAATATCTAAAGTGATTTTTAATTCGTGTTAATTAAATGATTCGTGCAGGTCCTCATCGAGTGTCTTTTCTGCTTCTGTCAACAACACAGAGTTGATTGATGACTGCGTTGTTTATACGCAATAAGAATTGGGCGAAGCTCGGCTCTAAATACCAAAGATCAAAAATTCTACTGCCGCTAGAACTTGGGCCCAAATTCTAGTCTGTTATAACTGGCCTCAAGACCTTTCCAACGAATTATCAATTAAAGACCAAGGTCCAATCAGACCTTAGATGGAGAGGCCCAAATTTTGAAAATTAAAATGGCCATTCTATTTGGATAATTTAAAGCTTATTGCAAAGGTCCCATGAATTCCTTTCTCTTATCTGAAAATCATAACTTGAAGAACCGGAGTTTTGGCGGTTGAAATACTTGATTTTGTATGAGTTATAACTTCAGTTATTTGTGACCGATTTTTATAATTTCGGGCTCATTGGGAAGGTCTTGCAAAAATCTACAACTATTTAAAACAACAGAAGTTTATTTGACCATTGGCTAGAGGCGTTAATGCCAATAATAATATTTTCAAAGTTTTTATGTCTAAAATCAAAGTCTAGTTCAGTCCGAGACGTCTTCAAAATGTAGAAGAACATTTGAAATTGTTGGTATAAAATTGGGGTGGATGAATTAGTCAGATTTCGATTTGTGCGCGCGCCCAGCTGACTCATAAGCAAGCCTTGGCGTTTGCTTATTACGTCCTTTTATTTCCAGATTAAACTTAAAAATGCAACACTTCAGCGTCTTCGTCACGCGGTATTGTCTTCCCTGTGTGTCAATAACATGGATAAGCAATAATAATTTGGGTAGATATGGCAAAAGGAAGGCGCGCAGAGTGGGAAAGAAAAGTGTCTCTGTCATCAAAGTCGAGTGTCGGTTTGTCTTGTGGTTTCTTCTTATTTCCTCCTTCATCATCGTCTCCTTCATCGGTCTTCTTGTTTTTGTCAATGATTAACACATTTCTTTCCTCTATGTGAATATTTAAATATAAATAAATTTACATTTGTAGTTGACGGAGGGTTTTTTTCTTCTTCTCTCGCACAATCTTCCTTGTCTTTTTTGCGACGTGGTAGACAGTGAATTTTTTTTTCGACTTTTTCTCACAACTAAACGCACAGTTTTTTTTTCCTTCTACTCACGCTCAGACACTGAGAAAATTTGTTCTCTTCCAGATACTTTTTGTGAGACAAGAGGCAAAATAGACTGACATAATTGGAATTTATACTAGAAGAAGATATTCTAGATGGTAAAGAATTGTCAAGATAAATGAAAATTTATACTATTAAAAGTGAAAACACAGGCTTAGATTTGTGATGTAGAAATATTTCTTAAGCCGATTTTCGAGGCGTTCAAGTCGTCTTTGATCTTCAAAGAAAGCTTCTTTAAGAAATTTATGAGCATTTTACTAATATAATACTTTTTAAAGGAATACCGTATTTATTAGGAATATTCTGCCGCATTCCATTCTGAATATCCATTTCTAAGCAATTTATATTTATTATTATCAACAATGTAAATTTTCCATACAAGCCAATGGAAGTGAAGCATTATCAAGCGCGTTTTTTCTTTCTTTCTTCACAATTTGCATTCCATTTAGTTCAAAAACACAACGCAGAATAAAAAAAAATAATGTTATTCTTCGATTGAACCACGTGAAGATCGAGAAATGTTTAAAGAAGGCCCGATATAGTGTGGTGAGAAAGAAATCTCTATTTTAGAGCCCGAGGGCAGAAATGTTTAGTAGCAAAAGTTGCCTCTCTCGCTCTCTCGTTCTCTCTCTCTGTCCCACCCAAAGGCTTCGTGTGCAGCTCTCATCTCTCAACAGGTTCAGAAAAAGTGAATGTTTTCAGGTAACACTCAAGGAGGATTTGCCAACAGATGGTAAAAATGCGGTCTACCTGAGTATGATTTTCAGAGATGAATCTCCCAAGTGAGGGATTTCTACTCACCACAGACATCCAGCCATCCCTCAATGCGACTGGGATAATTAATCTCGCAGATTCTGTTCGCCAATCTACGTCCCATTTTTATCGATCCACCTCACGGAGCCGGCTCGAGTGATTCTACGTATCCTTCTCTCTCTCGCTCGCACGCTCTTGATGTCTCGGGGAAATTCTCTGTCGACCTCTGCAGAGCCTTTTTGTCTTTCACACACAACAAACAGGGGGATGAATCAATGCATTGTGCACTTATCGAGACACTTCTTCATGACACTCGCGCGCGACAGTTTTTCTCACTGTGTCAGCGCAGACGTTGCACGAAGACACAGACTCCCAGTGATTTCACAGGAGTGCTAAATCACAATGGATTGCACAAGAAACTATTAAGAGTTATGCACTTGCTGGTCTGCTTTGTCACTCACAAAGCCCACTTCTCACCTGATTACACCTCAAAATTCAGCACAACACTCAACATTTGCTCTTTCCCAGCGCCACCAAAAATCCACCACTTCCCGTGTCTCGACGTCGCGAAACTTCAACAGATACTGAATCTGTGCGCAAACAGCAAAGGTTCAAGAGCGCGAGATTTCGACGAGAATTCCAACACACACAGTGGAAAATCTGCAGACAACACTTGCCACTAGATTTCACTGGAGCTTTTTGAAGAGACACACTCATCGAAGCCTCTTATTTTTAAGAGCTTCTCACTCAATTCAATGAAGTTTTTTGGCGTTTTTGGCCCCGAAGAAAACAATTACAAAAAATCGGAAAAAATTCCAACACACACACGAAATCAGCACATAAATAAAATGTTTCAAGTAAAAATTCACAGGTTTTTTTGTTTTTGTATATATCGAATATCCCAAACGTTTCATTTTATTATTATTTCTGTGTTGTTGTGTGTTTTTTTTTCCTTTCTTATTAATTTATATATAATTATATAATTTACTATTGTTTTACAATAATTATTTTGAATTAAATTTATATCATTTGAATGTCTATTTTTTTTTTAATGTTCCATCTTTCCAACTTCGCTGCCCCATCCAAAGTGCCTGTTTTTTGGGGAGGGTTGAGAGTGAAGAATCTCGATTACAGTTTGTCGTCGTCACTCACCCCAAAAACAGCGCCCACAATGAATGATTTTTGTTCACTTCAGTTTCTTCTCCCTTTTTTTGTTTGTTTGTTTGAACTCAGACGAGTAGAAAATAAAGACAAATAAATGAAAAAATAATTGTCAAGATATATTTCACGTTATCTCCACTGAAACAAAAAGAACTAATTAAAAAAAATCTAAATATTATATCGCAAAGAGATTATAATTATATCTCACTTGCTTGTGTTTCTTCTATATAAACCCTTCGCTCTTCTTCTCTCTTTCTTTCTCTCTTTCTCTCGTTAGCAAATATCGTTCAGTGAAATTTGCATTTATAGAAATTGATTCTTATAGATTAATTAATTAAATAATAACTAGGAGAAATCAAAAGTATATGAAATTAGTTCGATATTCAACTTTTATGCTTCCTCTCATATCTTCTTTTTTCCCCACACTCTTCAAACACTACAATGTAAGAGTTTTCATGATTATTTTTTCACCACTATCATCGCGATCGTCCGTACTTTTTTTTTCTCTATTACTTTCTTTTTAATTAAAATCCATTAAAAGATATTCTTTTACCATTTCTGCATGTTGCTTTTATCCTCTTTTTTCCTTTTTTATTAATTATAAATATGATTAATACCATTCAGTTTTTATTTTTTTATATAGCATTTTTATTAATATTTTTCTCGTTTTAACTTCTATTGTAAAGATATAGTTAAGAATAATTATATTTATTTTTATTTCCTTTTTCTCCTTTACTTGTGAATTCGCCCACATTTTTATTTTTTAATATAGAAGTCAATTTTTTCTGTCATTTCTCCATTAAAATCTCTCTTTTTTTCTTTCATCTTCTTTCAATAAGAACTCTCTGTTTGTTCTCGCATTTCTTTTTTTCATGAAAATTAATGTAATTCCCTTCTGTAGAATTTCTTAAAATATTGTTCTGTTCTCACTTTAAGAGAACATCTTCCTTTGCGGCAAAAAGTTGTTTCTTCTTCTTCATCTTCATCTTTTACTGTGTTTTTTTTACTCATCATGTAAATTAGCTTCTGGACAAACTTATTAAGTTTTCACTGTTTCTTCTTCTTCTTCTCATTTCTTCATAGCCCCACAAAGAAAAGTGGTGAAAAGTCAAGTTAAGTTATTTATTAGCTTTTGGATTTCATTTGAAAAATTCCATCCGTTCCCCAATCCAAAAGCGTCACACAAAATCGCATTTTTACTCTCCATCATTTTGTCTCTTTGTTTCCTCTTCTTCCTCTTGAATGCTGCTAAAAAGCAATATTTGATTTATCTTGATAGTTTTTTTTTCTTTTACTCTCATCGAAGGACTTCTATTTTCTTTTTTTTATAATGTTTATCCTAAGGTATGAAATCGCTAAGAAACATTACTCCTAAACATAATATTTCTTCTCATAAATGTGATCTCTTTTCACTTTTTTTTTCACTTCTTCTTCTCCATTTTACTATATGATATATTGTTGATCAAAATAATTACTTGTATTTATTATTATTATTTAAATCGCACGTCTAGTAAAAATTACACTTGTTTATTAAATCTTGAAGAGTAGTAAGATAAACAATTACTTTAGATTGTTTATCAATGCAAAAATGACTCTTTCATATATACTTTTATCTTCTTTTTTTTTCAAAATAAACACACAGAAACAAACGAAATATTTGCATCTCAAGTAATTCTACTTTGTGTTTACATGCTTCCTTAGTCGGAAATTAATCGGTCATCATTGCAAAATACAAGTTTTATTTTTTTTAAATGTAACTTGTGCTGTATTTGAATGGATTCTGCGATTCTTTGTTTACAAAAGACGTCTACTTTTATTTTCAATGAATGCCTTCTTCTTCTTCTTCACCCCCAAAGTCACTAAACACCATTTGGTTATTGTAAAACTCTTGTTTTTTTCCTATCTTTCTTTCTTCTCATTATGAAAGAATTGCAAGAAAACTGTTAAAAATTGTTTCATTGCCACTACAAAGATTTGTTATTTTTTTTTCTCTCTCTCACTTTCTGTATATCAAAGCAGTATTACAATAATACAAAGATTTTTCTTCTCTTCTTCACTTTAATTATTTGTTTAAATTTTTTTTTCACTGTACTTTTCATCAATATTTACTAAATTCTTCAAAATTCTCTGTATTTCCCAAACGAGTGTGTCCCAAAAACATCCTTCAATCATCTCTCATCATTGTTGCTTATCAGTCATCGTAAAACATTTCCTTTATTTTTTTTTCCTTCTGTCTCTCATCAGTAATATTTTCTTTTATATATATATATAATTTTTTTCTTTCTTTCTTATCTCACGCTACAAATCTTACAACTCTCGAATAAAGTTAGAAAAGAAAAACCGTCACTCTCAGCATGAAATAAAATTAATTTCTCTCTTTCTTTCTCTCTCTCTCTCTCTCTTAATCCTTATCATCCTTGTGAACGCCTCCACCGTCTTGTGATACACTCACACCACTTTCCATCTGTTTGACGACATTCGACTGATCTTGTCCGGAAGCACCATGATTTCCTTTTTATTTTGCAAACGAGAACATAAATTTCACAATTTAGTGTTTAATAACAAAGTTTTGAAGAAAAGAAGTTAAAACCCACCAAAAAGTAGAAGGAATGAAATTGCAAAGCATGGAATTGTGTGAAAGCTCTTTTTTTTGTAAATGAGTCAGAAATGTATGTTAAAATGGTAAAAAAAAAATCAATTTCAGTGGTTCATCATAAAATGTACAATTTTATATGTAAACATTTCTCGGTCATATTTTCAGTCCACCAACACTTGAGAAATATTCACACAATTTATTAACAATTTTTTCTTTTCATCTTTTATCTACTCAGATTAAAGTTAAAGTTATATACATAAATATGATGATTTAAATCAAATAATAATCCAGATAACAGATAAAATTGACTGATATTTGAAGCAATTTCCAATATACTTCTTAATAATGATGATTAGATTTACACAAAAATGCCACAACTTTAATGTGATCTTGAAGAAAGTTTGTCTTAGTTTTTAAAAGTGTTTTTTTTTGTATTATGTGGACAGAAAAGAAATTTGATGAAATTGCACAGAAGACGGTAAATGTCGAAGGACAAGAGTGTGTGTGTTTGTGTGGTCAGAAAAGAGTGACTAACCTCTAGTTCCTGCTCCACCGCTGCCGCCACTTCCTCCGCCGCCCGATCCACCCGCATTGGCGCCTCCGCCACCTCCGCTGCCGCCGTAGAAATGCTTATTGTTGGGATTTCCACCCGGCGGCCCACCAGAGGTCGGCGGTTGACGCATGCTTCCGCCGGCGGAACGGGACTGCTGTCCGCCACCGCCTGACTGAGACTGATTGGGATAGTTCGTGGGTCGCTGGATGGGCGTTGGGTATCTCTGCGATGGGCCATTGCCTCCACTTCCCGGCTGCTGCTGTCCCTGCTGCCCCTGAGGCGCCTGCTGACCCTGCTGACCGCCCGGATTCTGTTGACTTCCGCCACCACTGCGACTCAAATTACTTGCATTGCCACGTGATGAGTTCTGACTCTGCTGATGCTGCAACTCCCACTGATAATAATGCAGAAAAGAAAGACAACTTTAACAACAATCATCATAACATTGTGCTGAAGAAAGTCACGAAAGTCAGAAGATTTATATTTTATAGGAATTTTAGTGTGGAAATAGATTTCGAACTAATACTAGAGCAATCGATAGTATTAAAAAAATAATTACAGTTATGGGGCTGGATTGGGGTGGAGGACGTTTCACACCCAAACCACCATCACTATTAAGAGGACTCTTCAATTGCCGTCCACTCTACAAAAAGAATAAGACTTTTTGGCAAATTTATCATCACAAAGATTTACTAAAAAATTCCTAAATGGTGACCATGAATGAATGATGATCAGAATTGAGGATTAAGAATGATAAAATGATTCCTTCGAAAAATTCCCACGGAAAAAGTATAAAATATTCCACTCACCGGATCTTGCATGTGACTCTGTGGCTGCTTGGAATTCATATAAGCTGTCATCTGAGTTGGTCCCGCGCGATATTGTTGATTCATGGCGGCGGCGGCCAGGAGAGGCGAATTGAGGAATTGCGATCCGAAACTGGCCACTTGTTGTTGCGGCGGTGGCGGTGCAGAGCTTGGCGCTGGAGCTCCATGACTGCCAAACATTCCCGCCGCTGCGGCCTGAACACCATAATTCTGTGTGGCTCCGGCCGATGGGGCGCCAAAGTACGCCGCTCCTTGTCCACCCGCCGAGTTGCTGTAGTAACTGTTGCTCTGCATGGGTGGACCTTGCTGTGGCGGATACATTCCCATGTATTGCTGCTGATACGGTGGCTGATTCACGCCGCCCGTCTTGCTGCCAATGGCGCCAATTTGCTGCGATGACGGCTTCACGGAGGCAGACATGAGGGAGTTGGTTGACGAGGAGATCAGCACAGTTGAAGGATTGTTTAGCTGCTGGGACTGATTGAACGGTGTCTGGACAGCGCCACCCATTCGGAACTGCGAGGTCAGTGATTGATACATGTCTGGGGCAGGAGCTGTGGGCATATTTGGCGGAGCTGTCTGCATATAGGCGGAATAGGGTGCATTGCCAGCGGTGCCATAGTGTCCAGGATACTGTGAATATTGGGATCTATTGGCTGGCTCCATCTGGAATGGTCCATACGAGGGCATCGCTGAAGAGTTGAACAGCACAGCCGGTGGCGAGGGAATGGCCGACATTCCGCCAAATTGTGACGGCTGATAGTATGTCTGTGGCGCCGCCTGGAGAGCACTGGGCTGCAGTGGAGGTGGGGACAAGCCCAAGCCCGACTGATGCATCTGCTGCTGAGTGGGTTTGACTTTGCACACATTTCCACTATTGCCGAGACTCTCTGCCGCGTGCTTCAGACTCATATTGGCAGCACTCTGATGCCCCCCATGCTGTCCACCCACGTGCTGTGGACTCGGACTGTAGCCAGAGTCCTGTTCCACCACCCCGTCAGCCTGACTCTTGCCAAAGTGCTGCTCCAGGGCGGTGGGATCCGGTCCGAAAGTGTTTGAGTACGTGGGTCCGGGTGACAATGCATGCTGCACATGGGCGAGATTCCCGTGGGTGTATTGATGCAGATGCTGCTGATGGGACGACGTGACGAAGCTCAGGCTACCATCATCGGCTGATGGTTGCTCGAGGACGGGCGTGAGGAATGGTGCCGGATCCCACACCTTCTTCACCGACGCAATCTTCATGTTCAAATCCGCCGTCGATGGCGAAATCGTGCTATTACTCTGCTGTGTGGCAGCAACATTATGTATCGATCGTGGCAGTGAGAGACTCGAGCTGAGACTCTTCTGATTTGTTGTGCTCTTATCATCCGTCAATTGAGATATTTCAGATTCAAATGTGAACGCCAGCTTCATGTCCTTCTCATACTCCGACTCACTCTTGCTGCTGAAGTTCATGGATGACAGTGCTGAAGAGATTGACTCCGTCTGGACTTGCTGTTGCTGCTGCACACGCGCCGCCTGATCCAGCATGTCACCAACTTGCTGTGTCGGCGGACCACCCTTGAACACCGACTCGTCCTGCTTCTTCCCAACGCCCTCATTAGCAGATCCCTGACGCTTAATGGGCATCTGAGGCACCTGCTTGTAGTTTGTGTTCTCGAAGATGATCGTATTGACCGGTGGCGTAGATCCATCCAGCATTGCCTTGTTGGGATCAGTTTTCTGTGCTCCTGCCGATTGTTGTGCCAATCCTTGGGCAGTGGCCGACTTGTCACCTCCCTCGCCAGTGTCTTCCTTCACCTCCTGCTGCAGTGGTTTCTCCCACGCATTCCCAGTGCTCTGCTGTCCACCACTGGCACTGCCATTCACTTCGCCCGGTCGCTGCAGACGCTCACGCTGCTTGGCCGCCAATCTCGGTGGCAGCTGCTTCTGGCGCAGCGACGACTGACGATCACGCTCCATCTGTGACATCTTCGACTCATCCCGGCGTCCAGCAGACTGAGCATTCGTGGCACTGGTTGAGCCAGCAGAAGTGACAGTTGTAACGGATGAAGACATCTTAATTCCACCCACGGATGTCTTTTGCAGTCCCTTGGAGGCCACTCCTCGATCCTTCTCGCCCTCCTTGTATTTGCTACTGCCACTTCGACTCGAAGCACTCAATCCACTGCTGCTCCTCTGCAGACCCGGCTGTTGTCCACCAGCATCGTCCTTCTTGCCACTGACTAAGCCACCTGGAAGTACTTTCTTTCCCTCATCGCTCGGCTGAGATTCACTCGATTTCGATGATTGAGTGTCCTTCTTAATTCCACCACTCCTCGAATCCTTCTTCTCCGTCTTGCCACTGCTCCCCTTTGTCATCTGCTTCCTCTTCTCATACTGCGGATCAGAGAGATCCGAGGCGCTCTCATATGTGTCATCATTGGGCTTTCCAGGCGGTTTCATCGTGCCACTGCTGCTCCTCTGCGGCTGCGGTGACTTTTGGCTGGGCTTCCTCTCCAGCGCAGCCGACAGTGCCATCTGATTGAGTTTCGTGCGATCATCAGCACTCATGCTCTTCCCTGACGGTCCCTTTGACTCACTCGCCGATGACTTCTCATCGGATGTACCGAAAGGACTCTTGGAACTCGGTGGTCCATAGCCGTCAATTCTCTTCAGAGCACCTGAACCACCTCCACTGCCTCCAGAATTGCTGCCACCGACACCACGTCTAAATGACGGCGCCGAACCTCCACCGCGACCACGGCGAGATGGCTCTCCGCGAGGCGTGAACGCCTCATCCTTCCTCATGCCTGAACCACCGGCACTGCGTCCACTGTCCTTGCGTCCTCGGCTGCCACTATCCTTTCCACGTCGACCGTAATCTTCGTCCCCAGCTTCCTCATCATCGCCATCTGACGGAGCCCAATATTCACCTCCGTATTGACGTCCGGAACGCTCCATGCGTCCACCTCGCCTATTCCAACTACTCCCTCCGCCGCCGCCGCCACTGCCACGATACATATTGGATGAACCGTATCCACTGCGATCGCGTCCACGATCTCCACGATCTCTATCATCATGACCACGACCACCTCTTGGGCTCGGACGCTTGCCCTGCTGCAACTTCCCTCCATCATCTCCGCCCATTATCTCCTTCTCATCCTTCTTCGTCATGTCCCCATCTTCATCCTTTTTCTCAGCAATATTCTCCAGCAAGGGCTGCTTTTCCTTCCCACACTTGTCACTGTCAACACCCATTTCTGCCCACTGCTGAATCTTCGGACTCTCTGACATCCTCTTGCCACTCTCCTTGTCACTCTCGTCCTTCTCCTTCGGCATTTCTGGCGTTATGGACTTTGGAACACGCTGAAGTATCTGCTTGGGCTGGATGTCCTCCAAATGTTGAGACTGCTCGCATGCATCGTCAATCTTATTGGCTAATCCTCCGCCACACACTTCAGCAATCTTCTTGCCCTCCACCATCTCCAACTCATCCGCCCACGAGGTCACACTCTGCGGCTGCTGATTGAACTCCCTCGACTCGGATCTCTCCACACGCTGTGGCTCCTCACTGGACACACTTGTCTTCCGCTGGGAAGAATCCGAGATGCTACGCGCGAGCTGTGGTGTGCCAATTGAATTGCGACCAATGGACTCTCTGCCACTGCTGAAGCGATCATCATCCTCCGAGTCACCACGCTGACGCCGACGCATTTCCTCACCAACACCCATTTGGGGTGGCGGAGCACTTCTCCTCAGCGCCTGACCCGATGTCGGACCTGAAGATTTCCCATAGTTCTGACTGTTAATGTATCTGATGTCGTACTGCTGGGCAAATGGAATATTCTTGCCACTCTGGCTATCATTTGACGAATAATTTGTGGCAGTGTTTCGTGAAACTGGCCCCGCGCCACCCACTCCGCCGCCGCCGCCGCTCGGTCCTGTCGGCGCAATTTGCCCACCTGGCGGCGGCTGAATGGCAGCATTCTGAAAGCGTGGCGGCAAATTCGATCTGAATTGCTTGGAGAAGCACATATTGCCATCACGATCACGCTGATCGCCACCAGATCGGTAGCCCGATCCATCCTTGTACTCTCTCTCCCGCGAATTCATGTCCCTCTCGTACTTATCGTAGCGTCCATAGTCGCGTGTCATCTTCATATCGCCATCTCTCTCGCTGCGAAGGCGCTCCTTCTCGCGACTCATGAATGAACGTCCATCGCCAATCTGCGTCATAGCACGGAAGTTGCTCACCTCGGAGCTTATAATCATGCCAGAGCGACGATCATCGCTGCCACCACTGTCACCCGACACATCCAGCATCTCCTTCTCCGCCGAATTCTTCTTCATCATCTTCTGCTCCAGTTCCTGCAACTTCTTGGCCGCCGCCTGCTTCCTCTCATACGCACGACGCTCCTCCTCCTCCATCCGCCTCTGCACACGCTCCACTGTCTCAGCATCCAGACCACGATGTCCATTCTGCTGCAGACGTCCGTGATCCTGCTGTCGATCGCGATCATTTCGCTCATTTCTCTCCCTCTCAATGCGCTCACATTCCATTCTCTCGCGTTCGCGATTCCACACTGGAATGAGAAGAGAAAAACAACGATGCATTTCATCTCTTCGAAAAGCAAATTGCATTTCCCGATAACTCTTATCTTATCTATTATGACTCTCAAACACACATTTCACAAATTCTCTTCTCAATACAAAAAAAAAAGAAAACTCACCAGCGCGATTATCCTCATTCATTGCCTTCTGCTGTCCTCGTCGATTTTGATGATCTCTCTCCTTCCCATGATCATGCTTGGAGGCCGACACCGATTCCGATCCCTCAACAGTCTCATCATCGGAGAAATTCAGCTTAGCATTGTAGTCTATTTCATCGTGCTTCGCCCAGCCTTCATCCTTGGCAATCGCCTCCATGCGCTCAAGTTCCTCCTCCTTGATGATCGGACGCTGCAGCATCGCCACTTCGGGCTCAATGTATGGCAGTGATGACTGCCTGTCGTCCTGGCGGCCACGCGGCGGTGGACCGCGTCCACCACGATGACCGGCCGGCGGCCCGCCCTGATACGGTGGTCCCTGCTGGTGTGTGAGAACCGGTGGACCGTCATAGTGAGATTGTGCTCCAGGTTGCGATCGTGGTCTGGCTGGATTGAGGGGCGGCGGTGCAAAGCCACCGCCACCGGGGCCGCCTCCGCCGCCGCCGCCTCCACTTCCACCTGAGCGATACATGAAGGGCGGCATGAGTGCACGAAACTGCGGCGGCACCTGATGGAGGCCCGGGCCCTGCTGGGAGTTCTGCTGTCCAGCTCCACCGCCGCCGTTTGCGCCACCTGAACAACAGACAGACAAAGAAAGAAAACAATGCCAGAGTTATTTCGCCACATTTGCTAAACAAGGAAAACTTTTGGCAAATTCCGTGAGACACTTTCCAAAAATATGTAGTCATGTTTTAATTAAACTCGTCTTTCTCTCTCTTTCTCACATAATTCATTATAAACTATTTGTCAAACATTAAATTGCAAAATAAATGTAATAATTGAAAGAAAAATTTGCTCATGTGTACATTTATTTGAAAGTGGATTTTTACTGCTTCTGCTGCTGAGCTCAATTTATTGACTCAACTAGAGGAGGAGAATCACTTAACCGCGTTTATTAATTTTCTTAGTTGCTATTTGTGCATCTGTTTAAATACATGCTTATATTTATTTATTTATTTTGTTGTAATAAAAAGGGAGTCGATATTTAGAATTTAAACAAATAATGTATTCAACTCGCTCCGTCACTTTAGATTTTATGCCACACACTTTTGCTGTTGATATAAAGCTCAAGGAAATCACAATTCATGGATAGGAAGTCACTCTCATTATTATTGAACTATGAATGAATTGTTGTGACGTAGAAACTTGAAAATTTATCACCTTGAAACATTTTCGCATAAAATATCATAAAAACCGCCAAAGTACAAATAATATTTAAAGAATATTTTTCTAATTTTTGTCACGTCTATCGATTTTATTAGAGACGATATTAATTGCATTTTTTTCTCCTCCTTCTTTATTGCTTGCTCACTCTATTCTTAGTCACTTTATCAAGAACGGTTTATCAATTGCGAAATTCCATCATTGAAGCTTTAATTGAATGATTCTCTGAATATTGCACGATTTTTCCTCACAGACCGAGAATTTAATAGGCCGAAATACTGTGTAAAATTGGGTGATTTTTTTTCTTCTTCTCCTTAATTGAGCGAATAATGTGGCCAATTTTCAAGGTGACTTAGAGATATTTCTGAGCCAGATTTCTTAATTGCATCACTTTTCTTATCATTGATAATCCCGCATGGTTAAAATATATAAAAGAAAAAAAAACAGCCAATTTTCTCACGCAATGCAATTTTGATTTTCACTTGCCGTAATACCAAAACTGCATTCGCCTCTCAATATAAGTGATCTTGAGAGTAAATCCTCTTTTTTCTCTCCACCCCCCTCGCGTCAATGCTGCAATTTCCGTTTAGTCTAGTCAGTGTGGCGCAAAGCCATGTTAATCCGCAGTCAAGCAATCAGAATTAAATGAGAGAATGACTGAGCGTAAGACGATTGGAAATGACCGATAAAGAAATTTGTAATGATTCAACATTCCTGTCCGTGAGAGATTTTAATTGAAGAAGTGTCGCAGGAAGAACAGATGAAACTCACCTTGCTGCTGTTGCTGCATCCAACTGGCTGCATCTGTCTGTGGTCTCAAGCTCATTCCACCATCTGGGACATTTCCTGCTCCAGCGCCGCTCTGCTGATGCATTATCGGATGTGTCATCTGCTGCTGATGGTGCTGACTGCCCTTGCCGCCAGTCGGTGTACTTCCATCCAGGGAGGGGAACTCGTGCTGAAACTGCGGACTCTGATAGTGCGGCGGCTGATGGCCCGTCGCCTCCTGGCCACCAGTTGTCACAGAACTCCATGTTGTCGCTCCCGATGCCTGAGCACTGTTGCTGCTGCCACCAAGTGTGTTTGTCAGCTGATGCTGCTGCTGCACCGAATTGCCAACCTGTCCCGGTGTCTGCTGCGGCTGCTGCTGTTGCTGCTGCTGCTGGTGCTGATGGTGATGGTGTTGCTGCAAGTGCTGCTGACCCGGCGTCTGCTGCGCCGCCGCTGTTGTGCTCACCTGTGCCGCCGCTCCTGCACCAGTACCACCTGATGACGCCTCTGAACCACCCCACGTGCCCTGCTGCTCACCTGGACTCGATGTCTCCGCCTTTAGCGACGGCAAATTGGCGGGAGGCCGACGTGCCGATGGCACTTTTCCCAAACTTTGCATACCATGTTTACGAGGTACTGTATTCTTCTGTGTTGACGGTTCCAGAGATTCACCCTGCGGAGCATCATGACAGACAGAATCAAATTAGAATCACGTTTTCAAGTCTGTATCCAGAACACAATGTGTTAGACAAGGAAAGAAGGAACTTACACGACTCGTTCGATATAAACTGTTGATGTCTAATGCTGTAAACTTGGGCTTTGCATGGCGCTCCCCCCTACTTCCCCCCAGTGTGCTCATGCTGCCAGGGAATCCTCATCAGCAAAACTCCCACTTTGCACTCCGGCGAACGCTCAACACACCACAGATTCCTTTCGCTCAGCACTCTGGGCACAGTCGCCTTGTCCACTTGATCCTTCCGCGCAATTATCTAGTCTCACAATCCTCTTGTCTCTCTTCCAGTAGATCCTCTTCAGGTGTGCTCTGTGCGGCAAGAGGAAGCCTTCAGATGATTCTGCAGCTTCTTCTTCCAAAACCGATGGCTTCACGACGAAGACGATGACTGAAATCACCTTCTTCGTCGTTTTTCTTTAGCTTTCACGCTCTCTTCCCTCACTCTAAGGGCGGCTAATGCACCGTTTTCCACCCGACTTCGATCTAATCCTTGGCGAGGAGATTCCTCTCAGTGTTTCGTCGTTGGGTAGAATTCCGTGGGTTTTGTGCACTTCGGCTGCTGTTGGAATTGTCCGGATGTTTGAAGACTGAGGTGAAATCCGATGTTTTCTGGTGGTTAAGATCAATTGAGGTGCCCTAGAAGGATGAAATTTACTTTATAAAGTCTCCATTTGTCATATTTCTGCAGAAATCGTCATTGTCTAGCCGTGGGAACACAATCAAAACAGGGAGATGAAAAAAACGCAATACGGAGAGCGAACTTTGACCCTAATCGCGGGACTTCGTGGGCTCTCTTGTGGCCAAATTGCACATGTAGGAAACTTCATAGAGCACTTTATCGATGCAACATCCTGTGAACTCGTGCGAGGATCCTTCAGACTGAGAAAACGCCCCACAAATCATTGGAATTTCACATGAAACCTGTAGATTTTGTCCCTCTTCATCGACTGCCAAAGCAGTGTTTGTGGCTTTATAATGTGCAACTGTGATTTTTGTTGAGGCAGTACAAATGGAGGTACGAAAAAAAAGAAGAAGGAAGCCAGAAGAAGAGAAGGCAAATAGTATAGAAAAATTACAATAAAATGTTGAAGAGTCAGCAAAATGAAACTCGCACAATTAATTTTTGTGCCTCACTTTCCACCTTGTTCTCGCGCTCTCTCTTTTGCTGCCTGTCTCAGAATATTCCCGGGGTGGATTCATGCCACATGGGGCGCCCCTGAGGCTGCCGCAGAGGGCGAAAATATCGCGAAATTGAGGGGTAATTGCAGACAAATGATTATATAACGTTCTGGCGCTTTTCCCGTGGAAATAGTCACTGAATCGCGTCCGTGGGGCCACTAGAGCACTCAATTTAGTGCAACTGAAGGTGTGCGAGACTGCTCAAGGCGATCAGTGTGTGTTGGGAGGTCAATTTTCGCCCCCAAGACTCGCGAAGAGGCTCAAGGCGCCCATGCCAGAAACTGACACTTGAGCCATTCGCCGAGTTTATTGACCGCAACGGTGTTCTTCTCCAGCACCGAATTATCATATGGGGCCACAATTGTCTCCGCCACAGCGAGTCCCAGGCACTATTGGCGCCATCAGAAACCCTCTGGAAGGCGTTGTGTGTCGCCGAGAAAGTCCCATCGACGGTGCGACGTTTATTTCTCCCGAATGAGACTTCAACTTTCTCAGACGTCATGTTTGATACGATTTTCCGCCCCCGTGCATGTTGTGGGCTGATCAGCGCCACCCCAATCCACCCTTCAGTGGCGCACGGTGCACCGTCTGCCACGGGGGTGTGCCCGGAGGGGTCCCGGTGGGGCGCTTTGGGTGATTTTTCGGGGGAAAATGTCGTCTAAAACAAAGGCACTCTGGCGTCTTACACGATGGCAAGAGCAACGTGGTGAAAATTCGCACTTTTCTGCACTTTCTGCGTGACTCACCTCACAATTTTCGCGAGCACTCTTCCACTGTGATTGTGTGAGACACAATTTACTCGGTTTTTGGGGACGGATGGGATTATTTCACTTGATTTTTCACACTTTTTCACCGCGAATAGGAATTTCTGAGAAAAATGGCGATTCATACAGCTACGCCACGGTACGGACAGTACGATAAATACATGGTGTTGGTGTGAAGTTGGCTGCGGACGGAACGATTGGCGCGCTGGCATGCAATTTCGGCAATTTAAGGGGTAAAAAAGGATTTATTGCGGACAGGATCCGATCGACGAAAGTGCGGGGAAGAAAGGAAATTGCTAGATATGGAAAATGCTTGTCTATTCAATTGGACTTGCTGGGGAATTTTCAATGAGGGTCAGAGCGTCAATGGAGTGCGGAAGAAACACACACAAAAAGTGTTCTTGAAAGAAAATACAGCATTGAGATGAAATATTTAGTTTATTTATCATTTCATATTTTCTTATGTAAATTCCCAAGTATATAATGCTAAGACGATTATGGGTATAATGATGGCATAACAAATTTTGTGACGCTCTTAGCGCCTAAAAGGGCAGGGAGAGCTAAAATCGCGCTAAAACTTTCAGTCTCAGTGGAAGAATGGGTTGTTCGTTAGTGAAATTGCCTTGGTTGTGCACAGAATTTGCCTCTCGAGCGTGAAATCGTAGTCAATGCCGCTGGACACGTTGGCGGGCTTGAAGATCGGCACGTGCTGCACCTCACTCTGCTGCAAGTTGGAGTTCAGCACGAAGGGAACGCCCTCGATCTCAGCATAAGTCGCTCCGCCGAGGGTGCCGTAGAGGGTGTTTGTGGGCGATTGTGGTGTCGTTGGGGGCTTCGGAGCCGGTCGCGATGGTAACTGAGCGTTGGGGCTCGTGTTCTCGTAAATGTGCGAAATCGAGAGATTCTCCATTGGCTGGAGGATCTTGTCTTTGTTCTCAACTGCCGGCAATTGCGGCAGTGGTCGCGAGGCTGGGCCCACTTTATAGCACACCGACAGTCCATTAATTTCGCTGATGGTTCAACAAGAGTGTTTTATGCGTGAAAAATTGAGCAAAAGAACCGTTTCTAGGGCAATTTCGGCGCAAATTTCTTACCCCGCAATGAGGAATCCGCTCGGCGCTTTCTTGCTCTTGGAGCAAATAATAATATCCGTCACCGCCTTCGACGCATTCCTCCTCTCCACCACCTTGAACACTAGCTGCCGCTTTCGCCACGCCTTCTGGGCATTGTCCGTCGTCTGCAGGATGCTCGTGAAGCCATCCGGTGTCCTCTCGTTCACCCCAATCACGGAGATCGTCTCCACGATGGTGTCTGTGCTGGTGTCCTGCTTCGACATGCACAGATATCGGCCCGGATGTTTGCCGAAGAGAAATGTCTCGCGCCACAAGTCCGCATCGCTGTCCTGATCGTACGTCAGGTGAATCGGCGCGAATGGCTTTGGGCATCTGCAAAAGCATAAAAGAAATGTGTCACTCTCTCTGGCGCGATGACTCATTCGCGAACGCAATGCGCGTGTATCTGAGATTAGAGGCACAAGAGGCTTCCCATAGTGACGAAATGAGTGACACTCAAGTGGATTCTCTTCATTCCTTTCCAGGCCAACAAGAGTAAACAAGTGAAAACGCGCTGAAAACAAAGATTTTTAAGAATTCACTCAAATAGGCATGAAATCCTCACGAGACTTTCTGACTTTCCTTTCCTTTTTCGATAATTGTTTACATTGAATTATTTACGTTTGTTATGTTTATGCCGAAAGATAAAAAGGTTTTCAATATTTACATTTGACGCAAAAAGTGTCAAGATTTTCTTGGCAAAGATCCCAAAGAAGCAATTTCAAGATCACGAAAACAAATTACGGGGAGTATTCCTAGTTTTTCCACGAACATTTTCATATTTTCATGCAAGCTCGCGTGTCATTGGAATCCTTTGATAATTCCTAGGATAATTCCTATTCACACGGCATCTGGGAAAACGGGGAAAACCGTCAAATGACGACATCTCGCGATGGGGTTCAGCGGCATGGGAATTTCCCCCGAATTTTCCCACAAACACAATGTGCAACTGATGCAAAACAAGAGCAGAAATCTGCAAATTTCCTTACTTTTCGCAATTCTCCACGACAATGAGACTCGTAATTGGGCGATTGTCCGGGAGGAAATTGAGCACAGTATTTATCACATTCTTGTTCTTCACAGAATTCGGTGAGATCATTTTGACTCTCACGTTCTTTGTCCCTTCACAGCGTGAGTCCTCTTGGAAAATCCCCAGAAATTCTGCTGCCTTCTTGGTCACTCCCTCGCGCTGGACTTGGGCTGGATGATCAAAGCGACATGGACGTCGAGGAGTGGGAGAGAGAGGCTATTTTAGGAATTTATCACCGGGCGAGACAGAAATAGACTAAAAAGGCGAGGGTTGCTTTTGCACCATCGAATAGCATAGCAATTCACCACTGCACGACCACAATTTTCACACTATCCTATTGTCTCTATTGCGCTGAACGCTGTTTTTTGGCAATTCCGATGCGAATGAGTGGAAGACTCTGATTTTTTTGCGTTTCTGCGGAGAGCTTGTAAAAATCCAGCCTCTTCGGTCGCCGCGGTGACAGTTGCTGAGTTTGTGAGCCGCAAAGTCTGCTCCGGAAAAGGTCCGAAAGAGAATTTGACAGCCGGATGTTTTGATTCGCGTTTCTGGACGATAAATATATTATGAACTCGGAGGAAAAGGATCCTCTGGCCATATCTGAGGAGGAGGCTCCTCGGGAGACAGCAGCTGCAGCCGCGCCAATTGTTAAGCGTCGGAGGAAGAGAAAGAAGCTGCCCAAGGATGGGCCCAAGCCCATAATCACGGGCTATGTGAGGTACATGAACGAGAACAGGGAAATCATCAGAGGCCAGTTTCCAGATGTGCCAATCGGTGAGATTACGCGTAAACTGGCTCAGGGCTGGGCAGGCCTCACGGATGAGCAGAAGAAGCCTTATTTGGATGCGGCGGACCTGGACAAGGACAGATTCAGTCGTGAAATGCAGGAATATCGCGAGAATCAGGCCAAGAAGATGGCCATAGAAGAGCCCAAAGTAACTCAAGTGGTCGAAGAGAGGCCCAAATCCGTGGAGAAACCCACGCCGACAGAGAATTTCGAGCACAAGAACGGAGATTTTGACATCCCCATCTTCACCGATGAATTCCTGGACCACAACAAGATAGTGGAGGCGGAATTGCGGGCACTGAGAAAGTCCTTCACGGACTACGAGCAGCAAAACTCGGTGCTGGAGAAGCACGTCGAGAACATGAGAAATGGAATCAATAAGCTCACCAATGAAACCACCGATATGACGACCAATAACAAAGTTCTTCTGGCGTATCTCGAGAAGCTGCGCTCAAAGCTGGTGAACGCGATGGGAAGCCTCCCGATGGCTTCTGGGAGCGAACATAACATCACCATGGACAACATCGATGACTTCCTGCAGGATTTGCCCACAGCCCACGGCGCGGCGACGCTCAATAAGGCAAAAGATCTTATCCGGAAGCTCGATCTCAACATTCAAGTGTGACTCTCTCTCTCTCTCTACTACTCAATAAATCTCAAGAGACAAATTTATTCATGATGCTGGGATTTTCCGGGAGCATTTAGGGTAGATTTTTCACTAAACTCCTCTCTCCTCGTGGTTCTCTTACTTCTTCTTGGGCTTCAGGGTGAAGTACAGCACCAGGAGGGCGACTGACGCATACGTGGCTTTGGCTACCTGCAATTTTTGAACAATTTCGTGAGTCTCAAGGATTCAAAAGGCCCCCCCAGAGCCTCCTACGTACATTTGCCCTGCCCGTATTCGTGACGGAGTTGAAATACTTGGACAGTCCAGTCAACTTTGCAGCTTCAGCAGCATCTTCACCTCCAGCCATATCTGTGGATGTGTTTTTGCACTCGGACTGTGAGAAAATGAGGATTTTCAGTGGGAAATTGTGTGAAAATTGATTTTTTCTTCCACTTATCTTACCTTCAAATATATAACCACAAAATTGAGGTTACGCAACTATCTGAGGGGAAATCTGCATTACCGATGTTATCAAGGTTATCTCAATTTGGCGCCCGCGGATTCTGCCGGGCATTCGGGGCATTTGGTGTTGAATTTGTAGTAAATGTAGCCCAAGAATATGGCCAAGTATGTGGCTTTGGCAGCATTTGCCCTGCCATTTAGTGTAGTGCTGTTAAAATGCTTTGAAAGTCCAGTTAGCGGAGGTTCCTTACCATCCATTTCACGTGAATTTTCCAGGCGACTCAAAAGACGCAAACGAAAATGTTTCTTACAGCACCTTTGATTCATTCATCTCAACATCTAATCAATATATTCAATTTATTATGTTCAATTTTCCTGCAAATCTCATACACTCACACTTTTCCCTCGTCTTCCTCTTCGGTTGTCCTGTCGTAAATGTCTTTCTGCGGCACTTTGGTGGCTAAAACTCTCTGAATTTCATCATCTGTATCTGATCCGGAGTCTTCAATGCGATTTCGGGAGGAGGAAGCTTGAGGCTGGTCAGCTGGACGACGGGATTCGTCGTGTACTTCATCTTCACTCTCAGATTCATTCCTATCATCGCGATCAAGGGCGTATCGACGCCACGGGAAGCGAGTTTTCCTGGCGAAGCAATCCAAGATCCAGTTCTTCTGGACAATTTTGCCTTGACCGCGAACTTGGTTGTATTTGGGTGTGTTCTTGAAGGCGCAGATCAGATGAGTGCAGCTTCTGTCCCAGTCTGACTTGTATCTGGCTCCCATTTCCATCGCCTTCTGGCGCAGAGTGGCTCTTTCCGGGTTCTGAATGCCACTTATTGTGAAGATGACTTCGTTCAGGAGTCTTCCGAAGGGCTGATAAGCGACTCTTCGGGCAGGACTTGCTGCTTTACAAGCCTGTTGAGGTGTTGCCACCTTGATTTCGTTATTTACTTTGGGTTTCTTCGCCACTGAAGCCGTTTCCTCCTCATCAGAGTCATCAGAATCGTGTATTATTCGATTTCTTCGCGGTTTTTCCGCCTTCTGAGACACCTTTGGAGGCTTTGGAGTCACTGGAGGAGGACGTTCTTCCTTCTTCTCGCGCAAGAGTTCGGCTGATGCTTTCCTGATGGCCACAGCTGGAGATACGCTTACACTCGTTGACGCTTGATCGTCTGATGATTCCTGAGATAATTTCCACTTGTTGAAAAGAGATCCTCTGTCGTCAGTTTCCGGCGATTCTTCTCGGAGTACAAATCTACCAAGAACTGAAGGACTTCCTGAAGACTCTACCTTCCTGACTTCCTCCTTCGCTTCCTGCTCAGGCGAGTATATCGTGATAAAGGACAAGCCGTACTGCGTGTGAGCATTGAACGGTTGCGAGCAAACTATCTTCACAAAGTCCCACTTCTCATTCGCGACGTCCTCCACGAGAGACGCCTTATTGAAGCACCTCACTCGGTTGATGTTCTCCAGCGATCGACACTCCACAGGAGTCATAAAGGATGAGGTCAAAAGGAGTTCTTGGTAGTTGTCCGAAGTCATTTCTTGGCCACTTTTAGCAACGAAAACACCAAGAAAGCAAGATGCTTCGTTGCCCAAATCTATTCCACTGATTACAGTTGGCTTCTCCAATTGAATGGTGACGTGCTCAGCTTCCTGGCCAACTCCCTGACTTCTCCATTTGAGATTTTTCAGGAGGTTGGAAGCTGGAAAAGCCTGGAAGACAGATTAAGGTTAGGTTTACGAAAATCGAAGGGAAAACAGGTTGTATTCAATGGTGTACTGACGGGATCTTCACTGCTAAAGCTATAGACACTCTTGAGAATGGCTTTTGGCATGCTTTTGGTGGAAAATTCTTATAAAATACTGGATCAAAGGAGAGTCAAACAAGAAAACGCGCAAAACACGGACACTGAAAATGTAAACAAAACATGACAATTTAAGTTGTCATCACTGAACGCCATTCGAGATCCTGAGCGTCACAGCTATTGAAATTAATCGCGAGAGAGTTATTTGAGCTATGCGGACTTATCTCATCTTTCCTACTACAGCATTGAATCTCTCGTCTGCGTAGAATCATGTTTTACATGAAGCACTGCGCCTCAATGCGTCTGACACTTTGCTGCGCGATAAATAACTCCCAAGGAGATTTTCTCAGTGAATTTTCTGTGAGAAAACAGCAATAATAACGCAAAGACGAGGGTTCATCCGATGGATTTGGAGCTGGAGAATCGGGAGAGTGAGAAGGATCGGAAGAGTGGTTGCGATAGTGATGTGAATCTGAGCATAAAGAAACCCTCGAGAGTCCTTCACTTCTCTGATGGCGTCCTTGAGGAGTTTAGCGACACGGAGGACGAGGTGGACCAAAACAAGAACAAAGTGGAAGTATCAACCATCGATGAGGTAAAATCCTTGACGGCTGATGATTGTGCAAGCTCGAGTGACTCATTATCTCTCTGTTTTCCATCCACTGCAGAGTCAGATGAATTGGCCCACGTGGATGATTCATAAGGCTGGCCAGACAAAGGACACCGTCGTGTCGGGATGCGAATACGTGGGCGAGGCTCTGGCATCCTTCCTGGGCATCACCACGTCGAAGTTCGACATGGAGTACGAGGAGTACAGGCGGAAAGAGGAGCAGAAGGCGCTGGAGGAGAAGGAGTCTCAGGGTTGGCAGCCATCAAGCGAAGGGAATAACGTTCCTGTCGTTGTCCACAAGTATTAATGAGTCCACAGAAAGAATTTTTATTTATATTTTTACACAAATCACTTATCAATGTATCAGCTATGCAAGGAGAATTGATAACAATTATCGGTGTGATTCACCACGTGATGCCTAAACGTGCCTTTTCCCTCTGGCTTCCATTCACAAGGAAAAACCGAGACTTCGTTTGGCGGGAATTAAAAAGGCGCGGCGAAGAGTGTGAGAGAGGGAGAAAATTTAATGAGTAGAAGGATTTCCCGCCCTGCCGGCGTGTGGAAGAGAGTGTCTTTAAGGCTCCATTCCTTTCCCACCGACGACGCGCGTCCGCGCCCGCCTTAAAGAGACAAAAGCGCTGAGGGAAAAACAGCGAGAAAATGTAAATTAATAATGAGAGCAATGCTGAGGGGATGGAGATGAAAAAGTGTGTTAAAAGTGTAAATCTGTTGGAAAAGTCGCGGGAAGTTTATGTTGCTATATTGGTGGTGAATTTTAAAATTTGCTGTAGGTCATGAACGCGAATTTCTTTTCACTCTTACTCTCGATGGGTGAGATCTTTGCCACCACCCCCCCCCGAAGCCACCCTGTCTGCCGAGAAGTAATTTATTCTTTTCAACTTTTCACACAGATTCTTTTCCTCTTATTTCCTCCCGCCGCTGCGCGAGATGAGAGTGAATTTTCACGCGCCCTTGCTCAATTTAATTAATCCGTGGGCAATTTCGTGGCGGAATGGCATGTAAAATCTCAATGAAACATGCGTTTTGCTATTTGCTGGACTCTCGCAATGGAATTCTATAAATTCCATTTTAAACAGTTGCGAAGTTTGCGCTTAAGTCATTTTGGATTAAAAGGGTGTGGATTTGAAGTCAATTTCTCTGTCTCGAATTGGGAAATTTTTCCAAAAAAATCTTCCACGATTCTCTTTGTCATGAGCAAAAGGGAGCAAACTATCCACATACTCCAACATTCCTAATACATGCTCTTCACATATTCGCCCAGCATTCCTGTGCTTAGAAGAGGGGGTGAGAGAGAGAGAGGGTGGAATGATTCGGAATATGCGCCGCATGTCGCAAACATTGATCCATCCAAACATATTTGGCCAATCGAGTGATGGGTTTTCTGCGGGTGGCGAAGAAGGGAGCAGCAGCAGTGGAAGTTTATCCATCCGCTGGAGGAAGAAGGAAATCATCTCCATTGAGCCGCCACCGCAGAAATTTCTCCCTTTTTTCTGGCCTCCCCGAAAACCGCGCACACAAGGGGATGCAAAAAGGTCGTTGGTTGTTTGTGTTTGCAGAGAGCAAAATGCTATAAGAGAATATTATAAAGCGAAGGATATGGCAAAAAGGGATGCTGCGGCGGGGAATTTTCCTCCTCTTCGTCACACACACTCTCCCCCCTCCTTGGCACACATATTCCACAAATGCGAGTCGGTGTACATAAGGGATCTCTTGGCTGGAAGAGAATAAAAATCCATCTGAGCCACGCCCAGTCGAGGATATGTGGAAAATAAAAGGGAGATTTCTACGAATGTGTGTGGCACTGGATGAAATATTCCCCGGTTCTCGGCATTCTTCACATCTCTACCCGTTTCGCTCTCGTCCTATCGTCATCTCGCTTGCAATATGTGACGGCACTCCGACGAGAACTCTTCACATTCGATAGTTCTTTCGGAAAATTTTTATTTATTATCATCACTTTGCTGAAGTTTTACTTAATATTTCTTCTATTATGGAATGTGCGAAAGAATGACACGCGATGTCGAGAATTTAATTGTGATTAATTATTATGCACTCTTCAAGGGGGAGATAAAACTGCCTTAAATCTGTACACCACTTTGTGACACTTCCACAATTCCTTTGCAGAATCTTTAACATTTCAGACACTTTTGAACGCATCTGAATGCATTTTTCATCGCTTTTTAGACTCTTTCAACTCTTTTAAGCTCTTCAAATGCTTAGATTGTATATAAACTGATTTCAATGTCTCAGGATTTGTTCATGAACAATTTCTGCGTAGAAAATTTCTGATCAAATAGTGCGGTTGTAAATCCAGTATAAAAACCCTTTTTGACTAATTTTAATCCTTATGAATCTGAAAATGAGTAAATATAGCGATAATTAGGTTAAATTTGTCAATTTTAATCACAAACCGCAATAATAATCAAGCAAAGAAACATTCTTCAGGCAAACTAATTAAGAAAATGCCTGATTTTTTTTAAATAGGAGCTTTTGCAATGCAGATATTCTAAATATTTTACCACTTCCAATTCCTCATACTTCCTGTGAAACTGTACACCACTTTCGACCACAATATCTGCCCCTTGGCACTTTTTCATTTGACATTTTTTGCATCTGACGAAAATTTTTTTATTGCATTTCTATGAAAGTTTTGCAGGAAGCAACTAAACACAAAAATTGCAATATATGATGTTGAAACTGAAATCACGGATATTTTTATGCAAATTTGTTGAGTTTTTCAGGGAAATTGATGAGAAAGAGTACAAAAAGTGTAGAGAAAAATCACATCTGCCGCGTGATATGCAAATGAAATTCGTTGGAGAGGAATTTGTGTTGCCTCTTTTCTGTCATCCCGTCGATATCAAATGGGAAAATCTCATGGGACAAACCCTTTTTTCCTGCTGCAACTCTGCCTTGATTAGAGGTTTTTCTACCTGGCAAAGTGTCGTCGTGAGTGCCGAATTGTAACGCGCGCAATAATCTCTTTTTGGGGTGTCGTGGCGAATTTACCTATAATTTCGTGTTTGATTAGTGAATCTTTATTCCCAAAGATTCAGTGCAAAAATTTGTGATTTTTAAGAAATAAAAAAAGAAGAAGTTTGACTTTTGCTGCAATAATTGGCGCATTGAGAGATGATTGAGCGAAATATGGCATATAAGACAGGGTCATATTGTCAACACGTGCATGACCTCGGCGCAATTTTCAATCGTAAAAGTCCATCAGGAGAAGACCGGCTCACCCTAAGCCTGGAAGCGAATCCGCGAGTTTTGAAAATAACTGGACAAGGGTCAGATCAGGGGTCAGAAAAGGGTGGACGAAGGGACAAGAAGACATTAACATAAATTCTCTGGTCAAAATCATCATTGGCTCGCGCCCAGCGAGGGAAAAATTGACTGGAGGTTTGGACGTTTCAGCTGTTTGAGGGTAATTTATGGAAATTTCGCGCATTTACCTTCTTTGCCGTCGGCCAGAGACGCTCTCCAGGTATTTGAGTCCCATAGCCGGTTCGATTGGCCGACAATTTGTGCATTATGACCAAAAGGTGTGCCTCTTTTCGGACCATTAAGGAATTCTAGGGGAGGTTTATTTCCGGTGGTCAGTGGTCACATAAATGTTTTCGCATTAGAATATTCAGTGATGCCTATGCAAGATGATTTATTGGCATCGAAGGGAGGATAATCAGGGTGGGTTTGTCTTACCCACTGTGCGGATGGAAGACAAACATGAAAATTACTTCTACATTATTTATGGGATTTTAATTGAATCTTCGGTGGTCTTATTCTCTCTATTAACACAACAACTTCGGGGGTTGATTTTCGGTGAAACTTGTTTGTGGGATTGGGAAAGGATTAGACCGTTGAGTGGACATGATGTGAAGATTGGTTTCGTTTGCACGGGACAAGTTTTCGAGTGGATAATTTGGTGGAGAGGTTTTTCTTGCTCACTTTTCCGACTTTCGAATAAACCCATCAACCTTATCTGTGATCAATCTGGTCCCTTCTCGCACACATGTGTATTTCAACCCTTACCACAGGGGTTAAAAATGATCTCTCGATCTTATCGCGAACCAGTTGGGAATCCTTGAAGGGCCACTCATGAGGTGTGAACACTCGAACAATCTCATTGATGCTTTCTGAATGTTGAAGAATATAAGTTTTGTTTCATTAATTTCGATCTCAACTTTCCCGTATGGTGAAAAAGAAAGAACCTGGCGAAAGTTCTTCATTGGCACAACAAAAAAACAAGTAAACACATTTGCGAAATGGGCAAAAATGTGAGGTTTGGGGGGGAAACAAACACCACCCCCATTATCAAGTGTTACAAATTCTCTTCAATGGAGAAAATTGTGATGGAAAAAGTGGGTCAAAGAACTTTTTACGATCGTCTCACACCCCCAAAGTGGGAAATGAGGAGACATACACCAAACAACCAGTTAAGAAAAGGAGCAGAGAGAAAAGAAATCAGCTGCTTCTGCCACCCTCCGACAAAGTCTTTTTTCCTGCCTTCTTTTTCCTCATCTCGTCTACTATACGCGGTACTTTTCTTTGTGAGCGCGCGCTAATTATGAATGAAATTTGTACTCAACGCCGAGGGTGGTGTGTGGATTCCTCAATGAGGGGCGAATGGGGGTGGGAGAGAGGGTGGGCGGTGACGAGACTAAATTACGTGCCATGTGAAAAGTCTTTCACAATAGGAAAAATGGTGGAAAATTATAAATGCGACGGTCTGTTTCAGCGCGCGCGAAAAATTTTCTCCTCTCGCCCGCGAGATACTTTTCCGGGGAGTGCTTTGATGAGGTGGGCTGGTTCTTTATGTGTTTTTTCGCAGTTTCTTCCACCCCCTCTGGGGTGGAATATTTGCAGATGGTCTGGGGGTAACTCCATGGCGAGACGATTCTCTTTAAGGGTGGGCGAAGAAGAAGAAAAAAAAACTCAATTAAATTAACATTCAACACGATGATGATGGGAATCAAAGTCGTGCGAAAGTGAAAATGCCCGGGAAAAGAGCAACACACGCTTCATCTGAAAAATGGTTGAGCATTGCCAACACAACTGCATATGACTTGGCTTCTGTATCTAAATTATTCCGTATATTCGCCAGAATTTTATGTATTTAGAATTCATAATGATCACCCGTGTTGGAACCACTTTCAATTTTCCGCTAGACTCCCCAGAGGGGTGAAAAATGGTGTGTATATGCGGGGTGAAAATAGTGTGGGGAGAGAATGAAAGGGAAAAATGCGCTTTTGAAAGTGTATGTGTGTGAGAAGACTTTTCCGCGAGAGACAGAGATGACGAAAAAGGGCGACAGGGTGAAAAGACAAGAAAAAGTTTCCCATGAACCCTCTACTAAATGAAGGTGAAAGTTATTCTTATATTTTTCTTCTTGAGCTC